CGCTGGCCAACCTCCTTCGGAAACCATGAGCACAGAGCCCTCCAGGGCCCTCGCACCCTCACCGCGCAACCCTGGTGATGCGTGTCGACTGTTAGCCCGACCGTATTTTTTGGAGCCGACGGCTTTTTTGTTCCACCCGGCGATCTCGACGACCCCCCTTGCTTTTCCAGAGTGCTCCAGAACGGGCGTCTGGGAGTCGATGAGATGTGCCGATTTAGCGCCGGCCAGCGTCGATTTAGCGTCGACGTAGCGTCGATTTGGCGTCGATCAGCGTCGACTGGCGTCGACTAGCGTCGATCCGCAAGAGCCGACAAGATGGTATGGGAGGCTCCCTTGAGATGCCACCGAACCGTTCTACCGCGTCGTCTTGCGCGTCCAGCCCGATGAGTTCGCCACGTGGTGCGCTGTGGCTCGCCGTGGCCCTGGGCGAGGCGTCTCTTGTTCGGTCCTTCGGCTCCGTCATTTCGCGTCGGGTCCCTTCGGTCGCCCGCCCCCCCGGCGGTCGCTGGTTGGGCCCTCGTCGACGTCGCGGAGTCTCATCGTTCGATGGATCCCGAGCGGTTCGATGTTCGTTTTGGGGATCTTCCTGGGGCGCACCTAATGGATCTGTTCGGCTCCAGTTCGACCCCGTTTTGCGTCGGTCCATCGGCTCCGTTTTGCCTCGGTCCTTCGGTCCCCCCCCCGTCGGTCGCTCGGGTCGGGCCCTCGTCGCCGTCGCGGAGCCTCGTCGTGTTCGATGGACCCCGATCGGAGCGCAGGGCTTCAAAGAATTAACCAAAACCAGATGATCTAGGCCTCCCAGATGGGTCGGAGCAGATGGGGTCGGAGGATCGCGCCACATCGCCGATGCAACGCCGATGCGGCTCGATGCGGAGCCCGATTCGCTTCACGTCGACGTCGCCGATGAATCGTTCACGTCGCAGATGCATCGCCGATGCGTCGCCGACGCGTCGGCGATGCGTTGACGATTCAGCGCGACTCTTCGACCCCATCTGCTCGGACCCCATCTGGGAGGCCTCTGTCAATGGATCCCGAGAGGAGCGCAGAGCCCAACGGAATATCCGAAAAACCAGATGCTGCCGGGGCCTCGGACGCCCCATCGGGGTGATGCCGCCGAGGCCAGAGGAACGGCCACGGAGCTGCGATGCTGGCAGCGTGGGTCGTGAGGGTTTGAGCGCGCCCCGGCCGCGGGCCCGAGCTCGGAGGAACACGAGGTCGCGATGGTGATACATCCCACGATGTGCAGGATTCCCAAGATCACCTCATGTTCCACACAGGCTGCAGAAACGATGGCCGCTAGATACTCTGGAACCCCTGGGACGTATCCTGGCCAGTCGCACCATGACATCATTCTCGTCCTGCAAGTTGGCCAGAGGAGCACCGCGAACTCGCGAACTACCTCCTGGAGCTCACGCTCGTCGAGCACAAGATGGTGTGGAGGGCTGGGGCAGCACGGGAGCGACGCGCCCAGACCTCCGACGAGGTGCCTCTTCTTCCAGCAAGGGGTCTTTCCTCGATTCAGGCCCCCGGGGGCCCTCTGCAGACCCCGAGGTCCTCAAGAACACCTGGACCTGCGACGAAAGCCACTCCTCCCGGGGAAGGGGCCGGGACCTCCGTGGTCGCGCGACAGGGGGCATCGGTTCGAGGCTCGCTTGGGCCGCCTGCGCTCATGAAACAACGGCATGGGCCGTGTTGGTGATCGTCTTTGTGTTCCAGTGTTTTGCCGATCGGCGCCGTCCTTTGCACCCCCCCCCCCTCCCCACCTCCCCCCTGGAGTTGATCTTGACTGTTTTGGGCGCCTGTTTCGAGCAGGTGGGGTCTCCCCCTATAGGACGCACTGCTGCAAACAGTCGCACTGAGCAGAGGTCCCGAGCCAGAGCCCCCCCTCTCCCCCAGCTTCCCCCCAATGTCGAAGCGCCGAATAAAGCAAAAACGCTCACTCGGGCCCGCGTTCGTGCTTGGTTTTTGATGAAAGAAGCCAGATGCTGGAAAGCACGTCGTCGGCAACATCAACGGCCATTGCAACGACGGTGGCGATGGACGGGGCAGTTTTTCGCAATCGGCAGCGCTTGCATGGGATCTCTTTTCCCCTACAAAGCTCAAGCTCCGCTTCAAAAAGACACTAATGAACTGAGCATCGATGTCCCACCGGCTGGCTGGCAGGCGCCATACCCAACACAACATCACGCAGCGCCGCGAAGGTCACCTTCTGATCAACGGCCTTGGCGTGTGTGCGGAACATGTGCTCGGCACGGAGCCTCGACCATGCATTCGTCTTGGCCTTTTTAGGCAACGTGCCGCCGTGGCGCTTCTTGATCCATCGCTTGATCAATGATCATTGCAGCTCTATGTGGTTGGTCGTGACCTCTCTTTCGTTCGTGATCTCGCCAGCGCTTTGTTTCACTACCTTGTGCGGCAGCATCTGCTCTTGTAATTGCGACGTGAGTTACGTGGAGCACTCCATGTGGATTAATCGATGGTGATGCAATGGATGTGGATCAATGTATGTGATGCAATGTATGTGGTGCACCCTATGTTGTGCAATCAAGGCTGTGCCTTTTACGTTGTGTCATGTTGTGTACTCAAAGTTGTTCAATCGATGTGCCACAATATGTGTGGTGCGTTCTTATGTGATGCGCAATCTATGTGATGCAGTCTAGGTTGTGCAGCCTTCGTGATGCATAGAGAACGCCAAAGAGAACACATCAATGCAGAGAACGTCCAGTCAGAGAAACAAGCGTTGCACATCAACTAGAAGCAGTGCAAAGTAGCCCACTGCAAAGTAACGCAACGCAAGACAAAACAATGCAGGGCAACGCAAAGTAATGCGGCGACGAGGCTGCGCGCGGCGACGACGCGGCCACTTGGCGGCCTCGGTGACGGGGCGGCGACGGCAACCACAAGGCGGCGGACCCGACGTGCAGGCCCAGACGACGGGCGGCGATGAGGCGGCGACGGGGCGGCGACGGCGACAACATAGTCGCCAGACCGCTGGGCAGGCCCAAACGACGGGCGGCGACAGGAGGCGACGTTGACGACATAGCCGCCAGACCGCCAGACAGGCCCTGACGACGGGCGGCGGCGGGGCGGCGACAGTGGCTACGTAGCCGCCGGACTGAAAGGCAGGCTCAGCCGACGTAGCGGCGACGAGGCGGCGACGGGGCGGCGACGGCGGCAACGTAGCCGCCAAATTACCAGCTAGGCCCAGATCATTAAACCATAAGTAGGAACCCCAAAGTGCAAACACTGTCTGGGGAATATACAGATGTAGCACCCCGCAGTTGCGGATAAGAATGATGGTGGCGGGCGCGGGTGGGGTGTCGGGTGGGTCGCGGTTGGGTCGCGGGTGGGTCGCGGGGTGGGTCACGGGTCGGTCGCGGGTGGGTCGCGGATAGGTCGCCGGTGGGTCGCGGGTGGGTCTTGTGTAGGTCGCGGGTGGGTCGCGGGCAGGTCGCGGGTGGGTCGCGGGTAGGTCGCGGGTCGGTCGTTGGCGGGTCGCGGGTGGATTGCGGTTGGGTCGTTGGCGGGTCGTGTGTGGGTCGCGGGTCGGGTCGCGAGTCTGACGCTTACAACAGCCCCACCAACAACAACCAAGCAAACAAACAAACAAGCACGCCAACAAAGAAACACCATCACCACCAACAACAACATCATCAACAGCAGCACACTACCAATCATTTTCGGACTCTACGTATCTATCTGCGCGAGTGAACACGTCTATCCCACTCGCTCGGTACCTGCCTTCTTTCTTTGTTTTCGATCGTATCCCCTTTGGGGTATATTCTTGTTCTTTGCCGCGTGCAGTTAGGGCAGCCCCTAAAACAGCGGAAGGGAGGACGGATGGAAGGGGGAGGGATACGAAGGGAACACGAGAAGCATTCGCTGGAGAGGGGCTAGGAGCAGAAAGCCCGTTGCAGAACCAGACGGGCAGATCCGGCGGGCAGACCCTAGCGAGGGAGTCGGAAAGGCGGGTTCTGGCGGCCAGTTCGAGCAGGCAGGATGCTGAAGCGTGAGTCCTGGATGAATTGCGCGGACTTCTCGAGCGATATCGTGTTTCCCAAGTAAGTCGTGAGAAAGGCCAAAACGAAAGCGTGATTCTTGAGTGTCGAAGGCGCGGTGTCTGAAAAACATGTGGGGTTCCACACGAACACGTGATTCCTGCATAAGTTGTGAGGAGGTCCCGCGAGAGCGCAATTTTGGAATCCATTGTGACGAAGTGTTAGGCGGGAGCCGTTGTTGTTATGGTTATTGCTTTTGATGGTGTGATTAGGGGCGCTGCAACGAAGTTTAAGCACGAAGACTTTCCCTGAGACGAAACAAGGTTCGAGCCCCGAGGGTTGCACTTGAATTGGAAAAGCCACACTGCACCTGTGATGGGGGGACCAATAATTATTCTTCAACCGTGGGAGTTCAGCAACAACAGCAGCAACAGCGACACCACCAACAACAACGACACCCCGCACCGCGGAACCTTACTTCAGCCACGCACCCAGGGTCAGTGAATGACCGTTCGGCCCCCCAACTCTGATGTATGTTTTTTTTGTTCTTGGGCTACGGTTCACAATGTACGAGGTCGGCTTACCTCCTCGAACGTCACCAACTCTGGCAGACTTGTGATTACGTCGGAGCGCAGCTCACAAGCACCCCAAGCGTAACTAGGCTGGGAGATGCGAAGAGACAGCTCAGCTCTGCCCGTTGTTACCGTTCATGTTTAAACACTATGTCTCAACACATATATATATATAGGTCTGTTCGTCTGCCTGCCTGTAGCTCTCCCCCTCCCTCTCGCTCTATTCTTCGCCCCCCCTCTCTCTAAGAGGGGGGGGGGCGGGGAGGACACTGTCTCTCTTACCTCACATTTCCCAATATTTCTGTACCTCTCTGTGTGCGTCTCCCTCGCTTTCCTTTCGGTCCCTCTCTTCCGTTTGTTGTTCTCTTTTTTCCCCTCTCTCTCTCTGTCTTCCCTGTCGCCCTTCGTTTGTCGGGTTCTCTCTCCATGTGTTTCTCCAGTCACACATCGGTTTAGATACGCACAGATAGGTGTGCCCCTCTCCCTTCGCTCTCTCTCCCTCTCTCGATCGCCTTTTTTCTTCTCTCTTTCTCTGTCTTCCGCTCCCTGTCTCTCTCTCTCTCCCTCTCTCGTCTCATCTCTGTCATCTTATTCAACCTGTCTGCATACGGTGCAATGACAGTCGCCGTCTGCCGCTTAATATTCTCGTGCTGTTTCCCCCCTTGCTCTCCCCCTGTCTTTTCCCCTCTACCCCTGCCGTCCTCATCCCTCCGCCTTCCTTCTCCTTGCCCTGTCCCGCCCTTCCAGCGCTATTGCACCCAGTGCGAGTAGAGAGCAGGCACAGACGGGGCAGTGAGAGAAGGATCGCACGGGGAAGGTTAAATATTCACCGTCTCACCTAGCAGCCGCGGACAGCTGTTTGCCGCTTTGTTCTACCTTTCCGCGCACTTCGATATACATGTGTGTCTCCACAGTCACCTTCAGATGCTCCTGCATAATCCCGTCGCTGCCATGACATACATCTCTTCATTGCGTGCCTGTCGTTATCTTTCACCTGTGCCCTCTCTCGACATTTCTAGTTTGCTTGTTGGACAGTGTTTCACATTGTAGTTATAGTGTGATATGTTCAGTGGCAGCTCCACGCTGAGCACATGTCGAAGTGTACGGCCTCCAAGCGTACTGTAGCTCCGACAGCTCTTTCAAAACAACCACCCTTCGACGGCAACGCATGCTTCTATAATTAATTTCTTGATCTCCTTTTCGCTCCTCCCCCTGTCTCTTCCTCCCCTCCTCCCCTCTCCCTCGGCTCCCTCGGAGGAGGGGGAGAAGGAGAAGGGGTAGAAGGGGGTGCAGCTTAGCTTGGTGTTGTCGTGGCACCTCTGGGCATTACCCCCTCCCCGCTCAAACATAGAGATCCAATATCCTCTCCTTCTTGTTTCTCTCTCTCTCTCTCTCTTCTCGCTCTCTCTCTCTCTCTTGTATCACTCTCTCTCTCTCTGTATTCTCTCTCTCTTTCTTTCTCTGCGGATGGACCTGCCGCTGGCATCGACCGTCCTCTGCGCCCATCTCCTGCTGCTCACGTTGACAGACGGAAATGGTGGATGACGAGAAGGAGGAGGAGGAGGAGGAGGAGGAGTAGGCTGGCACTTCCCGGCATCATGGAACATCTCCTGCTCTTCATGCTGTCTGACCTGCCTCACTGCCCTCCCCCTTCCTGGCTTCGCTCCACCGTTTTTCTCTTTTGGCCCGTGACAAGGCACCTGGAAGTCTCCGCAGATGACCAGAGGTCCCAAGAGATCTTCAGAGGCCTCTAGATGCCTCTCAGTGCCTACCGAGGCCCCACAATGGCAAACGAAGAAAGAAGACTGAACTAACCAAGCCTAGATTTCTGTCAGCGTCCCCATCCCCAATGCGAAGTTCGCCGGCCCATGGCCTCACTTTGACCCCTCTTGGTTCTCCCTCCCTGGACCTGGGCGAGTGGCGAGCGAGCAGAAGAGCCGAGTGTCGGGCGCAGCCGAGCTTGTCGTCAAGAGCCCAGCCTGGGGCGACTGGGATGCCACCTGGGTGTGCCGAGACACGCACGACGGCTTTTGTGTGTTTAATGCTATGTTTGTTTAGATACACCAGAGAAAAATAATAAACAAAACACATCCAGGAGGAGCATGGGTCATCGGAGGCTTCTGGGCGCTATGTGCCGTTGTACTAGTGGCCCTCCAGGACCTCCAGAGACCTCCCACCTCCTCCCTTCGCAGTGGAACATTTGCGACGGACGGATTCTGGCCGTTTTCGGTTTCTAGGGTTGAGTCGGGCATGTCCTTTCACAGGAGGAATGTTCAAGAATATTACAAACTTGGTCAGGTGACGATATTTCGTGTTTTGTTGTTGCTATGTTTTTCGACGGTTGTTTTGTCTCTTCTGCAGTTCTCAAAAAACTCCGCCTGCAGGAGGACATGCCCGACCCAGTTCTGGGGGGTTCTCCAGGGGCCTTTCGGGACCCTCGTGGCACAACGCTGGCAGAATCTCCGGTCCCTGGGAGAGAACGTCCAGACTTCCCAGTGGCCGCGTTCGAGGAAAACACCACGACAGCAGAGGTCCGGGTCCAGCGGCTCCTGGAGTGATGCGTCTGTTTTCTACCACCGCCACCATAAGTTGGAGTGGGGAAGGAGGTGGAGGTGGAGGAGGAGGAGGAGGAGGAGGAGGAGGAGGAGGAGGAAGAGAAGGAGGAGGAGGTGGCAGAGGAGGAGGAGGAGGAGGAGGGAGGAGGAGGATCCCCCAACCCCTCCTGCTTCTGGTGGTGGCCGTGGAAAGCAAGCCCATCACGGAGAGCTGCTGCAGTGCCTCTCTCCGCGCCCCTGCCTCGGCACGCTCCCCCCCCCCTTCGCCATCTCCTCTCGCGTTCTGCCCATCCGCCAGGCGCTCTCCGCTCGTCTGTCGTGGCGAGGAGCACGGCACAGTGGGAGCCCATGCCAAGCAACACCTCCCCCTCCCCCCTCCTCCTTCCTCCTCCCTCCTCCTCCGTCCTCCTCCTCCTCCTCCTCCTCCTCCTCCTCCTCCTCCTCCTCCTCCTGCACTGGAAGCCCATGTCAAGAATCACCTTGCTTGCCTCCAGGGTGCCCTGGTTTTCTGGAGTTTCGATGGTTTTGCCGTGGAAGGCGTGACGCTCCCGCACCAGAAATCGATGGACGTCCTGGCGTCTCAGGGTTGGGTTTATTGTGGAAGGTCTCTTGTGGTCGGGGCCTTTCTGGAATCGCTTTCCTTTTCATTGTTTTGCCGATCGGCGCGAGCCCTCGCACCCTCCCTCTCCCCCCCCGTGGAGTGGATCTTGGCTGTTTTTGGCGCCCGCTTTCCAAGCAGGTGGGAAGTCTCTCCCCCATGGGACGCACTGATGCAGACGGTCGCGCTTTGCAGCGCTCCAGAGCCAGACCCCCTTCTCCCCCCCCTCTTCCGCCCAATGTCGAACCGCCAAAAAACGCTCACATGTGGGACATCGCACTTAGCTTCGTGGATCCTCGCTTGGGGGATGAGCCAAGTTGGAACGTGGGGAGTAGATGCTCGTGTGGGGACCTTCCTGGGGCCCACCTAACGGATTTGTTCGACTCTAGTTCGACTCATGTTCGACTCAAGTTCGGCTGAGGTCCGACACAGGTTCGACTCAAGGTCGGCTCAAATCGACGGACGTTTGACGCAGCTTCGACGCACGAGTGGAGCAAGTATCTCCAGGAAGGTCCCCAGAGTGCGCATCCAACGGGGATGACCCATGCCCCGATGCCTCGTCTCGGGAATGACAGGCTCGAGCGAGTGAAGCGGAAGCCCGCTGAGCCAGGAGCACAGAGTCTGGGGCCGTCCGCTCCCATTTCCAGCTCTCCCTATTAGGATGCAAGTCCTGGGAGGCCAAGTCAGTATCGGCGCTTGTATATCCGCGGTCGAAATCGAGCTTAGTCTGGCATAGTCTTGGACTTTCCGGCTCAGTCTGGATTGATCTGGCTTAATCACATTTAATAATGGGCCTCGTCTTGGCAAGTTCAGCTCAGTCGCGCCGCAATCGGGCTAAATCGGCCTCATCGCTCTTACGAGGAGCTTTCGGGAGTTCTGTTCTTGTCGGTCTGGTGATAGTTTGATCGGTTCTTGCCGCTCGGGCCACGCGGAACGATAGAAGTCCGCCTTCCTGCCCATCTCCTCTCAGGCCATGTTGCTCAGCAACAAGCTGCTCCGGCGCCAGCCTTCGTGGCCGTCAGTGTTGGTGGGCGGCGCGGAAGTGGAGCACATGTTTCTTGCTTATGTTCCTCTCCCCGCTGCCCCTCCCCCTCTTGCCCCCTCTTTCTCTGCCTCTCCTTTCGCATCCTTCTCCGCATTCTCCTCTTTCCCCCTCATCCTGCTACTCCGTTGCCCGCTCACGAGAACTCCGCTGCTCCCACGCCGTACAAAAAACGGGGACACACATCCCGCCGCCTCCTGTGCACAGGGCTGCCCGCCTGCTCCTTCCAGCTCTTGCCGGGTCGGCGACAGGGCGCGGCCTCTCTTACGCAGCGACACGAGCTCGGGTGCTGCCACAGGTGCCCCCGACCCCAGGGATCCCCCCAGGATTCTCGGCGGGGTCAGACGGCCCCCCGAGCACCCCGCACCAGGCCCAGAGGACCCCAGAGGCTCCGGAGTGGTGCGCAGAGCGCGGGAGGCCTCGGGCCAGGACCGGCTCAGCCGTGCCCGGCGGTTGGAGGCTGCGCGCTGGGCGTTGCTCGGCCACGCTGCCAGCCAGTCTGCCGCTCCACACCGGTCCCCGGACCCCTTCCTCGGCAGCGGCCCGACTGGATTCCACCGAGCCGCGTGCAGCCGTGGCAGGGGAGCTACAACTGGGGGAGCCGTGGTCCCTACCCCCTTGGGGGGCCCATCGATTTCGACACCGCTCTCGAGAGATCGTCGATCCGGTGGATTTCCCCAGGGGGGTATGGACCACAGCTCCCCCAGTTATGACTGGTCGGCGTGGCGGCGAGGGCTCCCCGCCCCCAGTGGCCAGACGTGGAGGAGGAGAGGAGGGAGGATCCTTCCCTGCGGGCAGCGCGCCTTTGATGGGCGAGCGCCCAGTGGGCCTACCATTCTGTTGTCCACCACCGCAACCATAAGTTGGAGTGGGAGGAGGAGGATGAGGCGGAGAAGGAGGAGGAGGAGGAGGAGGAGGAGGAGGAGGAGGTGGGGGAGGAGAAGGAGGAGGAGGACGAGGAGGACCCCCTCCCCCGCCAACTTATGGTGGTGGTGGTGGAAAACAAGCCCATCAAGAGCCACTATTGGAAAAGGAGTCGCCTCCCATGCTTCCATTTGAAAGGGATGCCAAGAGGTAGGATCATCGAATTCAAGGGGCTGTCCAGCGCCGTCCTTGGGCTTCAGATTTGACAAGCCGCCCTCCACGGCAACACAGCGGCACTTGATTCAACCCTCCAGAGGGAGCCTAGCGGCGTGATCGGCTGATATCGTACCGCGGAGGGGCCAGAAGAGGAG